ATGGGTAATTTGCACTCAATTTCTAGGCAAACAAATGAGTTTGGTGTTTGATGCATGTTGAGCTATAATCTAGTGAGCAGAGAACGCAAAAATCTAGTCAAAGGGCGAGATAAAAAGGAATTGCAATACCTAACTCAGGGAGGGGCGAAATTGTGGAAAAGGAAATCGATACGTAATTTTCCTCCTCTAACCTCTGCTTTCATTTCAATGCCGGTTTTTATTGATATGTAGAAATAGAATTCTAATGTTATTCTCATCCAATTTATTCGATGGTAAACATAGCGAAACATCGGTATATATCATATGCAAAAATAGCCTATTTATGTTCCTTCGTCCTTAAGATAATTGTTGTGGAAGCCAAGCAATCGAACAATAAAATAACAGAATAAGAAAATAAATCAGACACCAGATTTATGTGGTTCGGTCGTAGTGACCTATGTCCATGGGGAGAGCAGCACGGAATTCTACTATAGATCAAGCGGTACAACAGAAATTACAACTACACTCAAGTCACTCAAACCCTCTAAGTATTTCATAAGCCCAAATTACATCAAATAACTCATGCAGTGTTTAGCTCAATAATTCCTCACGAAATAATCTCTCAATCTCGCGAAAAAATTATACACAAATCTTATTGTAAGATTTAATCTCTATAAACACTTAAACTCTTAGTGTAATTCCATAGATAAAATCACGAATCCAATGCTAAGCACCCAGCACCAACGGGACTTCACTTGCACTCCCACGGCATTCGATGAAAACGGCCCTTCTCAACATCTGATACAAAACAGAGTATATATATTTATATGTGCCAAAAGTTGGTCGAAGTGAAAAGTCCATAGTTGACTTTCCCAGTAAATCAGCCCCTCTCTCCAACGTGCAATAGATTTCGTATATTTCTTTCTTTCCTTTTTTTTTTATTCACTTTTCTTTTACTTGGCAACAAACTGCACCATAGTGGACTTTCCTTTTCTGACACAATCAGACTTCTCCAACTTTGACTTCAACGTAGAAACCAATTCGTGCGTATAATTTCTTTCTTTCTTCGCAGACTTCAACTTACCAAAAAACATTTATCGTATTATGGTATGCCTCAGATGTCTACAAAATATTCAATTCAAAAATATTTAGATTTTCATTTTGAGCTCAAACTCGAGATATATTTTAACAATTATAGTGTTATTGACCTGTAGTGGCATTATTTGCTCGTCATTGCTAAAGAATGAGGCATGTGGCTGGGTGTATGGCGATGGACCAGCCACGCCGTCAGATATAGAGGCGGGGTTCTAGATTTGGATTCTTGATTCCCTCCATGGCCATGGATGTTGTAGAGCCTATTAATCTAAAGCACACCTCCAAATCTAGACCAACGGCATTGCAGGTCGAGGTAGAGCTCAATGCCGCATCGACTTCCGCCCCATGCAATGAGCTCGACGGCGATGTGTTGCTCAAACAAAGACAAGAAAAGGGTTTTACAAAGAGAGAGGGAGGGATATAGAGAGAGACGGGGGTTGTAGGGGAGAAAGGTGGAGGGAGGGAGGGAACTCATCGCCGGGCACGACGACAACGGCGAGGCGACGGATCTCTATGGCGGTAGAGGCTCAGCACCTTGGGCGATGGAGACAAACGAGCTGGATTCTGGGGAGAGGGCTGAAGAGTGAGAAAGAGAGAGGAGGGATTGTCCAAACTAAAACGAGGGGTTACAATGACATCTTCTCATGCTTGGAGACCGCAAATCTGCGCCCCCTTTCCACCTATCCTTAGTTACGGGTGAAATTGTGATTTCGATGCAAAATACTGACATTGTGATTATTGCAACAGTATTTCCATACCCCATAAGCTTCAACCCCTTTCACATCGATCCATGATGGATAAGACTGTACATTGGTAATTAGGAGCATACGTGATTTTGATAATCTACCTTTTTCCGCACATAGTAAAAGAGTCAATTATCTTTCATAAGAGCACGGGCTTGATTCATGTGATGAACGAACTTACGAAGGTTAGCACTGTGGTCAAGTTGCAGCATGCCCTGTGAAATTAAAACCAATTTCCATGCGAGAAAATACAAATTTCAAACTGCAAGAGCTAAAAAAAAAAGGAAAAAGAAAAAGAAGAGACATGTGGGGGTTGCACCTTCTCCCATAACAAGACAGAAATTGTCTGGGGAAAAGTCAAAGATGAGATTATTGTTAGATTAAGATGCTAGCCTCGATTGGTGCCCGGTTTTCAGCGAACATCACATGCTCTAAGCTTTAATAAAATTATTTCGGAGGCCTTGTTTTCTCTGCCATGCATCCCTTATTAAAGTATCACTCGACGCTCAGATTTTTGTTTTTCCATTAAAGAGTCGTCATGGTCAACTAGAATATATAAGTTTGAGATATATATATGATGAATCAGAATTGGTTAATTTTTTATAAAGAACAGTGACACGTTGTTCAATGTGGCCAGAACGGTTTGTGATGCGCATGTTGGGGCAGATTGTTTGGGCCTCCGGCCGTACAGCATAGTAACATTTGGGCTCACCTATCGTGGGCCATCGAGAAATCTATTATATTGTATAACTTACTATGATATATCTGTCCAAATCAATCACTCCTTACTTAAAATAAAAAGTTCAATACAGTTATAGAATCTATATATATATAAAATAACTGACATTTTTATGTACCTCTCTCTCTCTCTGCTGATCTTTCTTCACCAGCTGTGCAAAGGCCAAAAAGTACTTTAGTTTCACCAGCTATTACCCACCTCGAGTAGCTTCCATCTTACAGTTTGATAATAAAGAGCGAACCATCTTTGTTTACATCACTCCACTCAGTGTTTTCCCGAACAAGTACACTCACTCCAAGTCCTTTAACTGTCGAACTTTCCACTCCAGAGTAGAAGCATCAGCATCAAACTCCAGCCCCAACGCCCTATTTTTCTTTTCAAGTCCTGCCCTTCTTTTTTCTTCAGGTTTTGTTTCCTTGATCTCTTGACTCGTTGCTTCTATTCTCTAATGTTCTTTGTGTGTTACCATATTCATCTGAAATATGCGGTTCAACGATGCTGCTTCCACAGCTTTTTTTGAGTTCTGTCGTTTTGACATTGTCGGTAATGAGCTGATCTAGATCTGCTTCTTTGCTCGTTGATGTGCATTTTGGGGGTTGTGTGAGAAAGTGTTGACTTGGGTCTGCTTGTTTTGCTGGGAAGCTCCTGATTTGAGCAGAAACAGGGAGAAGGACAAATTTAATAGAAAGAAAAGAAGATATGGAGCACCAAAAGTAGGTGTTAGATCTGGGCTTTGGCAATGGTTATTGATCTGTTTTGAGGATCCTCCAACATTCTAAAATTGCCTGCTTGCAATCCCATATTCTTTTTGCAATTGCAATTAACTTTTTTTTTTTGCATAGACAATTGCAATTAACTTGATAAGCATTCTTTTTGTGAACTTCTAATTCGCTGGACTAGCTAATTGGGTCTGCATTTAGTAACTAGTCTTTCTTCCTTGCCAGCTGCCACTGTTTTGAAGTAAATGTTGCGCAAGTTTGCCACTTTGTGATTTTTTGTGACCCGAAATTAATTTAAAGTAAACGCGGCAAAAGTATACTGATTTGAGATTTTTTATATTATTAGTCCTATATAAACATTGGAGGATAAGTGCACTGAAAATCCTAAAACTTGTCACGAAAGTACAATTGAGTCCTAAAACTTGTCATAATGATGCAATCAAGTCCTAAAATTTATCAAATTAGTACAATCAAGTCCTTCCATAATAAGTTTAAAGGAGTTAACGGAATGGCTTGATTGTACCAATTTGACAAGTTTTAGGATTTGATTTCAATTTTGAAATTTTAGAGCTTAATTAAATTTTCATAATAAGTTTTAGGACTTCCAGTACAGTAATCCTAATATTGGGATAGTTAAGTTTGATAAGTTGGGGGCCAAGGTACCTTGGCCCTCATGGTTTTGGCCATAAGTCAGATCGCACATAATGATGTGTTTGTTTTTTTACGGCTTTTGGGATTTAGCGATTCAATTAATTGAGGGAGGATGACAAGTAATTTTTTACATAAGATAGATTGATGTAGCAAATGGTTCTCAAGCAGCATGAAAGATGATGCTACTCAAATGCTGAGCCTCCTTTTTCTATTTTATTCTTTTGGCAAATCTTCCAAATCGATTAATAATACTACGACTATAAAAACTTGTAATACAAATACAACTAGTACCAAATCAATTATTTGTCAACTTCTTAAAGCTCGGGTCCTCATGAAATTACATGGATAAAGCCGGGTCAAGCCCAAACGAGTCAGGCTTGAACTTGTAGTCCTTTCGGCAAAAAGGCCTCAAGATTTTGATATCCTATCTTCTCCATGCAGTTAAGATCGTTGGTCTTCTAGTAAAAAGGTCAATTATCTTTTACGGTCACGAGTTCAATTAGCATCACGAACAAATCTCTAAACACCTCGACGCTGTATTATCTGGCAACGACTTTGGAAGTCAAAACCAATTCCCATGCAAGAACATAGAAATCCCAAACTGCAAAAATTAAAAAATTAGAGGATAGAAATTGTCTGCGAAAGTCAAATATGAGATTTCTGTTTCATTAAGATGCTAAACCTCAATTAGTGCGCAGTTTTCGGCGAGCATCACATGCTCTTGCTTTGATTAAATTATTTTAGAGGCCTTGTTTTCTCCGCCGTGCGTCCCTCTTCGAAGTATCACGCAACGGTCAGAGTTTTGTTTTTCCTAGTAGAGTCATCGTGGTCGACTAGACCATACAAATGAACCGGAACTTGTCTTATATATTATAAAAATTGGGAGACATGTTATGCAATGTGGCCTGAATTGGTTTATGATGTCCATGTTAGGGCAAATTATTCGGGCCATCGGCCGTACAGCAACTGAGATTTGGACCCACCAATCGCGGGCTGTCGAGAAATATAATATTTATGTGTTCGCTCATTGGAATCAATCACCGGATGCAAAATCTCCTTTAAATTTAGAAGAATGCAATGCAACTATTGAATCTATATATAAACCAAATGACATTTTTATGTACCCGCTCTCGGCTGCTGCTCTTTCTTCACCAGCTGTACAAAGGCCAAAAAACAATTAAAGTTTCACCAGCTATTACCCACCTCAAGTAGCTTCCATCTTACAGTGTGATAATAAAGAACATCCCATCTTTGTTTACTTCACTCCGCTCCGTGCTCCCAAGCAAGTCCACTCACTTCAAGTCCTTCACTATTAAACCTTCCACTGCAGAGTATCAGCATCAAGCATTGTCGTCCAGTCCCAACACCATATGTATTTTCCTCGAGTCCTGCCTTCTTGTTTCTTCAGGTTTTGTTCTGTGATCTCTTGACTCGTTGCTTCTGTTTTCTTTAATGTTCCTCGTGTTGTTGCCGGGTTCATCTGAAATCTGCGGTTTACCAATGCTGCTTCCACGGCTCTTTTTGAGCTCTGTCGTTTTGGCGTCGTGGGTAACTTTGAGCTGATCTAGATCTGCTTCTTTGCTAGTTGATGTGCATTTTGGGGGTTGTGTGAGAGAGTGTTGACTTGGGTCTGCTTGTTTTGCTGGGAAGCTCCTGATTTGAGCATAAACAGGGAAAGAGACAAAATTTATAGAAAGAAAAGAAGATATTCGGAGCACCCGAAAGTAGGTGTTAGATCTGGGTTTTGGCAATGGTTTTCTTGTCTTCTGGGATTGATCTGTTTTGAGGATCCTCTAACATTATGAATTTGCTGCTTTCTGAACTGTGCATGCACATTCAAATTGCCTTCTCGCAGTCACATTTTCTTTTTGCATTTGCAATTAGCTTGATTAACATTCTTTTTGCGAACTTCTAATTCGTTGGATTAGCTAATTGGGGGTCTGCATCTAGATTTTGTTGTAACCTTGCTATGAATTTCAGTCCACCCAAAAGAGAAAACCTTACATGTTCACAGTGAGAGTTCTAAGAATCTGTAAACTGGAAACACAGGCCGTATTTGCCTAACGGGTTGGTAATTTAACATTAGTAAATTTCATTATTTCGTCTGCAACTTTCTAAACCATAGACATATTAATAATTACGGATTTATACAGCGTCCTTGTTCACAAAGATGTGTTGTTGCTTTTGACAAATCGACATTGATTGGCTTTCATAAACTCCCTGTCATTTGTCAACATTCCCATTACATGTGAACATAAGAGCAAACTTTGACTTTTGGAAGTTATAATCTGCAGAGAGTAACGCGAATTCTCCGGAGAAATGGATTCAACGATGATCTTCTTGATTACCACAGCTATTCTGCTATTCGCTTCTCCAGAAGCAAAAGCTCAAACCACCAAATCTCCCCCTCCAAGTCTGGCTCCGGCGCCGGCCCCGACACCCAACCATGTGAACCTCACGCAACTGCTCACTGTAGCAGGCCCATACCACACCTTCCTTGGATATCTCGAGTCCACCAAAGTCATGGACACCTTCCAAGACCGGGCCAACAACTCCAAGGATGGCATCACCATATTTGCACCGACCGACCAGGCCTTCTCATCGCTTAAGGAGCCATCCCTCTCCAACCTCACGCAAGACCAGCTCAAGTCACTCTTCCTGTTCCACGCCTTGTCGCGTTACTACAGTCTCGCTGATTTCAAGAACCTGAGCCAGTTGAACCCCGTCAGCACATTCGCTGGGGGCCAATACACTTTGAATTTCACCTATTTGTCTGGAGACGTGCACGTCAATTCCGGGTGGACCAATACAAAGATCAGTAGCAGCGTGCTTGCCACCGACCCGGTAGCAGTGTACCAAGTGGATGGCGTACTTCTCCCGGAGGCAATCTTTGGTACTGATATACCACCAATGCCAGCTCCAGCACCAAGTCCTGTAACTGAAGCTAGCCCAGCTGCTGATACTCCGAGTGAAGTAAATGTTAATGCAACTTCTCCATCATCTTCTTCGGAAAAAAGTAAGAATTCGTCTCCACAGATTGTCAGTTGGGGAATTCGAAGTCAGTTGTTCTTTGCTGTTTCAAGCGTGATGATTATAATGTTGGCTTGACGATGAAGTTGATTAAATGAGCCATTGGTTTAGATTAAGACGGTAGGTTTGGATGTGATTGGATTGCTTGATTTGAAACCATTTTTTTGGGGATTTTATGTTATTGACGTTCCGTAGGAGAAAGTGAATTCAGCTAGTGCTATTCTATTAGTATGCTTATTCAGTGCCACATTGTTGATTCAGTTGGTTTGTTCTTGATGATGAAAAATGGAACAAAGCTTTTCTATTCGTGATTCCACAAGAAACTGGGGATTCATTGCATGCTTCTTCGGCGAGGCTAGTGCGAGCTGACGCTGAGCTCAGTTTCCGAAAATGTCAAAGATGTTTTCATGTGTCTTCAAAGCTTGAAAATTGCAGAAGCCAACCGCTTGTGGTGAGATTGGTCATTCTAACTCATGTACTCCAGCAGAAGCAAAATTTCGGGTTCAATCATCAGAGAATCGAATTTGTTGATTTCGTTTTGCATTGTGCTCGTAATTGAGCCAAAATAGGGTGTCATGAAAGAACCCATTAACCTCGATCCGCATATTTTCGACCAAGACACTCAAGCGAGAAGCTATCAGATCAGCAAATCTGGGAAAAGTACGGAAATTGGTTTTGCTTCGTGACCCTCCGAATGGACATGGAGTTTACATGAGCCATTCATTGAGCCGCAATAAATTGTTCACGAGTTTGGTAATCTGTCACCAACGAGAACGACCGGCTCCTTGCACGGAAATTACTGATTCTTGTAGGAGATTTTTTCCATGCAGTAATGCATGGCAATGGTCGCTCGCCACAGCAATCAATTCATACAGGCCATGATCATGTGATGCTTTTTTTGTGGGCTTGAGTTTGTCTCATGACAAGCTACCCAATTGATGATGATTCAAGACTTCATCATGTTTGAAAATGGACTTTACTCATTATGACCCCACAGATTCATGTGGACTTGAAGTACGAGGTCCTAAGTTTGAATGATTTCGACCCTTCATCTACCTCCATTTGTAAGCAATTTTCGAGCTTTTGTATTGGGCCAAATCCGATTCACCCCACATCTGTTATCCATTACATATAACTAAAACCGAAATCGAGATATGGTTGCTCCCCCTATCGCCATGTGGCACTTCATTTGCTTCTTTGACTGCCACGGGGCAAGACATGAGGCATAATTTTGCCACGTGACTCACATTTGACTCGTAAATATTGATTTATTACGCTTCGTGATTATTATCACAGTTATAGCACTAAAATTAACATATGATTGGATGTGCAAGATTAGAGAAGAGCTTTAGTAAACATAAATTTGTCACAAATATTTAAGGGCAAAAGCCACAAAAAAACTCCAAATTAGGCCATTGTGATACATTTACCTTAAACTTCTTTCGGTGATACAAAAAATTTCAAACTTGTACCTGTGAAAGTTCCGTCAATAAGAACCGTTAAAAATCTATTTACATTGATGCTAGAACGCAAATGATGTGGACATGGTGCTCACGTGATTTAAGTAAAATAAAAACGACGTTGTTGTGACTGAGAAATCACCTAACGGGATCTTAACGGAGGATAAATATATCACACAAATACAAATTTTGGATTTTTTTTTTTGTGTCACGAGAAATAGTTTAAAGTAAATGTGTTATGGTGAACATAATTTAGGATTTTTTAAATGTGTTATGACAGACATAATTTGTGTTTTCTTTTTTGGCTTTTTCCCAATATTTAAATACAAAACCTATAGGCAAACTTGAGCAAATACGCCAAGTCATAGCGAGACTCCCCCTTCCAAACTCTAGGTCCCATCTTTGGCAATTAACGAAAAAAACAAAAACAAAAACCCCAGATCCAATTATGCAAGTAATAATTAAATTAAGCTAATTTCATCAAACAAGAAACCCACATGATGATGATGATAATAATAATAATTGCACAGCAATGGTATTTATGTGCTGATAATCGAACCACAACGTTCCCCACGAAACAGAAGGAAGAAGAGAGGGGGGTGGGCAGGGCAAATGATCCGCTCAATATTAGGCATTCCGACATCCTTGTTTTGATGATTTCTGTCTCCCCTTCGCGGGTCCTCAAAGGCCACACGCTTTTCTCTCTCTCCCTCTCCCTCTACCTCCTTCCCTCCTTCTCTCCATCTCTCTCGCCCTTCGCAATTCATTCGCTCATCGTTCGTTCCTTCAATCCGATCACTCGCTTGGACGTCGCCACCCACGCCCCGAAAGGTTGGAACTTGACGGAGAAGCTCATGGGCGCCTTGCTACCCATCTGTGTTTGACGTCCCGAGGTCCGTTCTCGAAGCCGAATCTGATGTTCCGGGGCGCGGGTGTCAATGGGTAGTGCTTAGATTGCGTTGCCGTCGATAGAGGTGCTCTTGTGGGGTGGTGCTCGTTTGGGATTTACTTGGTTGATTTGATCCTCGAAATGGCAAAAAAAAGAGCACTGTTTTATCCACGCGATACGTTGTTCCGCTAAATTTCATGCCTTTCGCGATTCATTCGTTCGTCGTTCATTCCTTCAATCCGATCACTCGTTTTGGACGTCGCCACCAACGCCCGAAAGGTTGGAACTTGACGGAGAAACTCATGGACGCCTTTCTACCCCTCTGTTTTTGACGTCCCGAGGTCCGTTCTCGAATCCGAATCTGATGTTCCGGGGCGCGGACGTTAATGGGTAGTGCTTAGATTGTGTTGCCATCGATCGAGGTGCTCTTGTGGGGTGTCTCGTTTGGGATTTACTTGGTTGATTTGATCCTCGAAATGGCAAAAAGAGCATTGTTTTATTCACGCGATACGCTGTTTTGCTAAATTTCATCCTTTTCGCGATTCTATGTTGATCTGAGATTGCCTCTTTTTGTTGTTCATTGTCGTGCGAGAACCTTGGTGGCGTGAGTTGGTGCTTCATGTCGTGCTGGCGATTATCGTTGTTGTTTGGTTTCAGGATTTGAAGCAGAGGAAGGCATAAAATGGCTGGTTTTGTTGGCGTTCTGGTATCTGATCCATGGCTGCAGAGCCAATTCACCCAAGTCGAGCTTCGAACCCTTAAATCCAGAGTGAGCATTTTTTTCGTGATGCGCATTTTCGTCCTCCTGTTGGGTTGGCTATGTTGATTGTTTCCTATGACTTGCTTTATAATTGGCTGTTTTCTGGTGGCTAATTGAATGGTCTTTTATTGGTTTTTCAGTATATTTCAATAAAAAATGAATCTGGCCGGGTCACTGTCGGAGATTTGCCGCCTGTGTTTGCAAAATTGAAAGCTTTCAGTGAAATGTTCAACGAGGATGAGGTTAGGGCTATTCTTGGGGAATCACGTACAAACGTGGAGGAAGAAATTGATTTCGAGTCTTTCCTTCGGGTGAGTTTTAAGAACACAATGTTTTGTTATTCTTTTGGTGATGGTAAGTAGTTGTGCAGACGCTGAAAACATGCACATAATAGCATTCTTGTCAAGGTGGGATTATAAAGGTGACTGCCATAGCAAAGTAGAGCACGGACATCTGAAATTCATACTGTTTAGAAATTAATTTGAGTTGTGTCAAAAGAATAATAGTGAAATCCTTCTCCTTTGGGCAGGCCTTTTTGAATTTGCAAGCTCGAGCAACCGCTAAATCTGGCGGTTCGAAACATTCATCTTCGTTTCTTAAGGCAGCCACAACCACTTTCCAGCACACAATAAATGTATCAGAAAAGGCTTCTTATGTGGCCCATATCAACAGCTATCTGGGAGAAGATCCGTTCTTAAACAAGTATCTTCCTCTCGATCCAGGGACAAATGCTTTGTTTGATCTAGCAAAAGATGGAGTTCTTCTCTGGTACATACTCTTTTGACCTCCCAATTGTGCATTCATGCATAGAAGATTTACCGTTCATTGATGCCTAAAGTTTTGTGATGCAGTAAGCTCATCAATGTGGCTGTCCCTGGTACCATAGACGAGAGAGCTATTAACACCAAAAGTGTCCTCAATCCATGGGAGAGGAATGAGAACCATACTCTTTGTCTCAATTCTGCAAAGGCCATTGGCTGCACAGTTGTAAATATTGGTACACAGGATCTGGTTGAAGCAAGGGTAAGTTAAACCTAGAGCAGATTCTAATTTTGTTCTTAGCATAGATTTGTTTCACTTTTGAAATCTTATTCTTCTTTTCTGTCTTGATTTTCCAGCCTCATCTGGTTCTTGGTTTGATTTCTCAAATTATAAAGGTAATTAACTGGATGTTATTTGTTTATTTATTGTAAGGTGAATTTATGTATTATCAATTCTAAAGTTGGTCATTTTCTCGGTGCCTATATCAGATCCAATTGTTGGCTGATCTCAACCTGAAGAAAACTCCTCAACTTGTGGAATTGGTGGATGACAGCCAGGTGATTGAAGTTTAAGGTTCCTTTTGAATATATCGAGCAAGGAAGCTCTGTACTGAAATTATTATTTTGTTGTTGCATTCATATTGTTGCAGGATGTAGAGGAGCTACTGGGTTTACCACCTGAGAAAGTTTTATTGAAATGGATGAATTTTCATCTAAAGAAAGCTGGGTATGATAAGCAGGTTACAAACTTTTCCTCCGATGTGAAGGTAAGCAAGAGTTTACTAGTATTTTTTATGCGTAGAATAGAAACTGCTAACCCTAAGATTGGAGCATCATCACAGATGTTATTATTTCATCAGCTTAAATTCGCAAATGATCTTGGATTTCCGCATCTTTACTAGAAAATGCTACAGTAAAGGTATCCTGAGTTGCTAGTGTTCTTTCCAGAGCTTTTTTCTTCTGCTCATGTTAGCACAACTGGTAAGTAGACTGTAGACCTGGAAACAAGAAAAAATCACCGTCAGAAATGAGCCATGGCTCATATTTGTATTGTCTGGTTCTCATAAAGCATGTTTTAAAGTTATTTTTGTTTATGTTCTTGTCTGACTCTTTGAACCCATAAATTTTCAGGATGGTGAGGCTTATGCTTACCTGCTCAATGCTCTTGCTCCAGAACATGCTAGCCGCTCCACTTTGGATGCAAAGGATCCCAAGGAAAGAGCAAACATGGTACTTGAGCAAGCAGAGAAATTGGAGTGCAAAAGATATCTCACGCCTACTGATATTGTGGAGGGTTCACCAAATCTTAATCTTGCATTTGTGGCACAAATATTCCAACACAGGTGCCTTATTTATCAGTTTCTTGTCTACATTTTGCTCTTCTTCAATTATTTAGAAACAGTGAGATTGCTTAAACCTACGGTGATGGAGTGG